CAATCTGCAGAACCACCGAGTACAGGTAATGCTGGAAACAATAGTTCTAACTCTAATGATAATGCAGCTCAAGGGAGGGCCAGAAGACATAGAAGCGAACCCGTTTGGATGGCTAACTATGAAAGGGGAGATGGTCTATCAGATAATGAAAATAATGCTATGATGGTAATAGAAGATGATCCTGTGACTTATGAAGAAGCAGCTAAGAGTAAGACATGGAGAGATGCAATGAAAAAGGAGATGGAAGCCATAGAGAAGAACAATACTTGGGATTTAACAGAATTGCCAATAGGTATGAAACCAATTGGAGTCAAATGGATATACAAAACCAAGCTCAAAGAAAATGGAGAAATTGATAAATTCAAAGCAAGATTAGTTGCAAAAGGATACGCACAACAGTATGGAGTAGACTACACTGAGGTATTTGCACCAGTTGCCAAAATGGACACTATACGCATTTTGTTATCCCTATCTGCTCAACACAGCTGGAGTATTTATCAACTTGATGTGAAGAGTGCATTTCTTCATGGAGATCTCAAAGAAGAGGTATATGTACAACAACCCATTGGCTTCGTGAAATTAGGTGAAGAAGAAAAAGTTTACCGATTAAGAAAGGCATTGTACGGGCTTAAACAAGCACCAAGAGCATGATACAACAAAATAGAGACATACTTTCTACGCAATGGCTTTGAAAGGTGTTATTGTGAACACACATTGTTCACAAAGTCAAAGGAAGGTAAAATTCTTATTGTGAGTCTATATGTTGATGATCTGATATACACTGGAAATGATGAAAACATGTGCAATGATTTTAGATCATCTATGATGCTAGAATTTGACATGTCGGATCTAGGGAGGATGAGATATTTTCTTGGTATAGAAATCTTGCAAAACTATCATGGAATTTTTATGTGTCAAAGAAAGTATGCTAGAGATATTTTAACGCGGTTTGGTATGCAAGATTGCAATGTAGTAAAAAACCCAATTGTGACAGGAACAAAGCTATCCAGAAATGATGCGGCACCTAAAGTGGATGCCACTAAATTCAAACAGGTAGTTGGAAGTCTAATGTATTTGACTACAACTAGGCCAGATTTAATGTATGGAGTCAGCCTGATTAGCAGATTTATGGCCAATCCTACAGAGACACATTGGTTCACGGCCAAACGGATACTAAGATATGTGAAGGGAACAACTGAGCTTGGTATATATTACAAAAAGGGGGAGAATACTAGAATAGTAGCATATACAGATAGTGATTTTGCTGGAGATATTGATGATAGGAAAAGTACATCAGGTTTTGTATTTTTCTTAGGAAGTGGAGCAATATCATGGTCATCCAAAAAGCAACCGGTAGTAACATTGTCTACGACGGAAGCTGAATACATAGCAGCTGCTTCTTGCGCGTGCCAATGCATATGGATTAAGAGAATTATGGAGACTCTCGGTTTCAGTGATGACCACATGTTAGTTCTGTGTGACAACAATTCTACAATTCAATTGTCAAAGAATCCAGTTTTTCATGAAAGAAGTAAACATATAGACGTACACTTTCATTTTTTAAGAGATCTTGTTAAAAGGTGGGAGTATTGAACTAACGTATTGCAATTCAGAGTCTCAAATAGCTGATATTATGACTAAGCCGTTGAAGCTGGATCAGTTTTTAAAACTCAGAAGTATGCTGGGTTTGATTGAAGCATCAGAAGTAAACTAGATGACAAACATTTAGTTTAAGGGAGGGATTGTTAGTAGATATTTTTCTGAATATTTTCTGTTGCATTCTGTTATTTATTTTGTTTAATAATAGTCAGAAGTGTTGACCGGGTTTTTAGGAAGAATAGCTAAATTTTAGCTATCAGATACTGCAGTTAGGAAAACTCCCACGAAACTAGTAGTGGGTCAGTTTTTTTTCTCCATTTATTTTGCTAGTTCAGGGTTATATTAAGGTACTCTGCAATGTAGTATTGGAAATAACACAAGTAAGCATTTTTCATAGCCGAAATTGATTCTCGCAGAAACATTAATTTTGCAGAACCACTTACTTGTTTTGTTCACAACGTAGAGTTTAAACTATTGAGTAAGAGTTAGAAAAATCACTAAAAAAATATTATATTATCGACAGATATTTATCGATGGATGGATATGTATTTGTCGAAAAATAAGTGATTATTGACAAAAATTACTGACAAATATAAAGTAGTTATGAAATTTAGTTTTACCAACGGATATATCCGTAATTAAATGAACAATTAACTACTATATTAAATGAATAATTAATTACTGATGGATATATCCGTCGGTAAATAAACAAATAATTACCAACGAGATATATCCGTCGGTAAATCCGTCAATAAATAAACAAGTAATTACCTATATCGGTAAATTAATAATTTTGATAAATAGACAATTAATTATCGATCGGATATATATGTTGATAATTATTTATTCATTTACCAACAAATTTATTGACAAATTTAAAGTATATTTTTATAAATCAATATTAAATTAATAGAATTAAATATTTAAAATTATATAATAATTACTTAATTTTAAATATATTCTAATAAACACGACATATACTTTCACCGTGGAGTGTCTCCTCAATCCAACATATAAATATATCAAAATTTATAAATATATAAATACATTTGTATTTATATATTTTATATTTATATATTTACACAAATATACATTTATTTATATTTAAATATAATTTATTTGTAAATTATTATTAGAAAAACTTAGTAACCTAATGGTTGTAGTATCAATTTCTAACTTTAAAATACGAGAAATATAAATTAAATAATTTAATAAATAATAAAAATATGAATAAATAAAAATGTGTCTTATTTATTGAATGACTTTTCAAATTCGTTGATAATATTTATCGATAATATAATTATTGACTAATTTCTATCATATTGATAATTTATCAATAATATATATTTATCAAGAGATTTTCTTACTTACCCACTAATTTTGTCCATAAAAAAATATAACTTTTCTTGTAGTCAACAAACTAACATTTATAACTCTAATAATTGATGTACTTTACAAGAAAAAGATGGTGAGTGTACTGACTCCTTTTCTAGCAATGACGTTATGTATGTGAATATCTGACAACTGGTAACTTGTATTGATTGACATGCAGACTATGGATCAAAGGTAATTATTCCTGCCAAAAGAGATGTGCACAACTAACTGAGGATTATGTGACTGGAGATCTTTTTGCAGGAAAGAAACCAACAGATGATATGGCAGCAGAAGGATTGAACTTGAAAAATTGGATAAGTAACTATGCCAATTCAATCATGGAATTTGTGGATTCTAATTTGGTACCACGAGAATCTTATTGATGACACATTGGTTCATATGTCATTTATTTTGAGATAATTAGCCCTGAAGTGTTGTAGAAATTCACGTGAAGCACGGATTAGTATGGAAAAAAGGTCATCGCGTTATTAACCACTATCAATTTTTGTTCACTCAAATGGAAAAGGGATCAGAAACATATAAAGTCACACACCACTGTGAATAATGTATGCTTGTTGATTTCTGACTCTGGTTCAGTTTTATGGTCCTTGCTACTGTTAGGTGGTTAGTTATAAGTTGTCATAGCTACCATCATTTGTGTAAATAAATAAACATACAGTGTTGTTTTCAGAATTACAATCTTGTACAAAATTGGGTAATTATATAAGATGGTCCAGGCCTCCGCCATTTTACTTTGTACTGCTACCAAGCTTTAAAAATATAATGATTTCATTAATCTTTTGGCAGCACTCGTGTAGTTCCTAATTTATTTTCTTCCTTGAAAACAAATCATTACATGCGTGATGGTGATGGACCTGATTGTCAATGCCCAACAACATTATCAACTCTCTCTCCTTGCTAACCCAGCTAATCAACTTGAGACAAATCATTACATGCGTGATGGTATGAAGACAATAGCATGTTCCCACTTGAAGACAGGACTGCCCCCATCTTGTATACAGGAAAAAGCATCACCCATTTCGCATTCCTGATTTATTAGTTTAATTAAATGAACCTTAGATCGTATTGACAGATGTATTTTAGGTCTTAGTTTCATGGGTTTATTTTTAGTTTATACAAACTTAGTCATTATTTGTTCATTATGGACGCCTGATGACAATTTATTATTGCAACAAAGCCTCAATGGGCAATATCTGTGTAGTCCAATGACTTCTGAGGGAAAGGAAGAAGATAGAACAGCCATATTCAAAAAGGATATGTTTGAGATAAACCTAGTGTTTGTCAGATTAGGTCATGAGAATGAAGATGTAGCATATATAGACCATAGTTAGCCAAAATCAGTAAATCATAAAAAAAAAAAAATTAACAGAGTATTAGCAATGTTCATGATTTACCTGATATTGCCTTGGTGCACCTAATGTGAATATTGATAAGCTAAGCAAATGATCGATGTGACTAAACAGTTTACCCTTTGAGCACCTAATTTGATTCCAGAAATTTACAATTCCATCAGATGTCTAAGGGCAAAGATTTTGCATCGAAATAGCATTCAACTACAGAGAAACTCCTCAGCATTACAATAGCATTTCTATGGCCAGTCTCAGTTTGATTCCCTTCTTAGGAGATAATAAGGATTAACATTGACAAATAAAAAATGAAGATTCAAATATCCAGGCAAACTGAGACCTCCCAGTCCCCCCATATCACAACATCTTGATAATCTATTTTCCATGAAAACATACTGCTTCCACAATCAAATCCACATCAAACATTTGGATGGGTTATCAGTAATTGACAAATTTATTATTGTCAAATACAAAAACGACTACATTAATTGCCTCTAACGTGACTTGTTAAACTTGAACTCTAAACCTCTGATTCAGCACTAGTATGACTATCCTTGATCCATCTTATGCTTTAGCATTGACTATCCTTATTCATGAAAGGGTTAAATTGACATGGTATCACAATGATTTCCCCTCAATTGAATTTCCTCAACAATTTATTTACCAGAAATCTCTGCAAGAACAGAAGCCATCCTTGAAATGGTGAAACCGATTTGAATCTCTCAGAATAATTTCCCTTCTGGTTGACTTGGACATGAACTTTGCCATCTCATGACAATCACCGCATACTCGTAGATTCTTGGCGACCCTAATAGTTCTCCCAAGCGGCAAATTTAATATACCAAAAGCCATAGCTAGCTTCTCACTGTGCCCACACAAGGCCAATTCCTTCTCCGTCTCATCTGCATTAACCAACGCATACCTCATCTCAGGAGAATAACCTTCATTCTTCATCTTTATTCTCAAACTATTCAGTAATGAGACCATACTTTTGGCTTGAGGGTGTGTAGAATCTGCAGAAACAAAGGTGGTACATTTTCCTTGGACTTCTATCCAACTACAGCCAGGGCTCTTTTTTAGTCCCCGCTTACAAATCCTCTCCCGTAACTTCTTTACTTCTTCCCACTTTTCTGCCTCTGCATAGATGTTGGTCAGAAGAACATAATATCCTGTGTTGTCTGGCTCTAGCTCAAAAACATGCTCTGCCACTTTTTCTGCTAGCTCCACATCATGATGGATCCTACAGCCACAAAGCAAGGCACCCCAAACTGTAGCATCTGGTTTAATTGGAATTGTCTCAATGAAGTTGTACGCCTTAGATAAATTTCCAGTGCGGGCAAGGAGATCTACCATGCAAGCGTAGTGCTCTAACTTGGGTTCAATGTTGCATTCACTTCTCATGGAATTAAAAAATGCCCACCCCTCATTCAGTAATCCAGAATGACTGCAAGCATAAAGTATGGAAGTGAAAGTAATCTCATCAGGTTTAATACCTGCAATCCTCATCTTCTGAAAAGTGGCAATTGCTTCATTTCCAAACCCATGCATGCCATACCCAGTAATCATAACAGTCCAAGAGATCAAATCCTTCTCAGGGATAATATCGAAGAGCAACCGTGCATGGACTAGTGACCCACATTTTACATACATATCGATAAGTGCATTGACTACATGCAAATCTGATGAGTACCCATTCCTCAATATGCACCCATGAATCACTCTGCCTATATCAAGAGCAGCTAGGCTTCCACAAGCTGGAAGAACACAAGCCATTGTAATGCCATCAGGTCTTGATTCTTCTAGCATCTCAGAAAAAAGTTTAAGAGCTCTATTAGGGAGAGAGTTTTTTGAATAACCACCAATCATGATATTCCATGAGACAATGTCCTTAACCGGAATTTGAGAGAAAACTAAATAAGCTTCTTCCATGCTTCCACATTTTGCATACATATCCATGAGAGCATTAGACACAGGCAAGCTCAAGACCACGTTGTTCTTTCTAAAGTAATTGTGCACATCTCTGCCTTTATCTAATGAGTTGCTATGAGCACATGCATGAAGGACACTAGTCATGGAATAAACATCTGGGCTAACCCCTTTGCTTTCCATTTCATAGAATAATCTTATTGCATCATCATATAGACCTTCTCTTACATAAGCAGAAATAATCGAAGTCCAAGAGACAACAGTTGTTTGACCCATCTTCTCAAAAGCTTGAATTGCGTCATTTAAATTACCACATTTTGAATACATGTCTAGTAAGGTATTGTTAAACCTAACTTCCTTACCAAAACAAGCTTTCACTCCATGACCATGAACTGCTCTCCCAAATGAAAGACTACCAACATTTGCGCAAGCCACAAGAGCATTAACCAAGGTAGCCAAATCCACACCAACCCTTAAAATAAGCATCTGAATGAAAAACTCAAGTGCAGTGTGGGAAAAACCATTCATCACACACCCACTTATCATGGAATTCCAGGACACAACATCTCTATCGCCCAATTCATCAAACAACTTGTGTGCACTGTCAACTCCTCCACTTTTGAAGTAAGCTGCAATTAAAGAGTTAACAACAGTATTATAAGAACCAAAGCCTAGTTTATAAATATGCCCATGGATTCTTTTACACTCTCCTACACTTCTCAAAGTAGCAAAACACTTTAAGATGCATGAAAACGTATAAGAATTCCCTGTAATTCCCAGTTTCTGCATTTTCCTAAAAAGATATATACTTTCACGATAATCACCGAACTTTGCGTATTCAGACATCATAAGATTCCACAGAAAAACCTTATTATCACCGAGAGTAAGATCAAATATCCGTCTCCCTTCTCTTAAATCTCCGCAACTCACATACATGAACACTAGTTTTGGAGCCAAAACTCCTGCAATTGGTATCCCATTGGAGGAGATAATTGAATGAACCGTCTTACCCTCTTGCAGACGCTTACGTTCAGCACAGAGCTGCAAGACAGAAGAGTATGTGTTCAATTCAAGGTCGGATTTTTGGGACATTCTGAGCAATTCCACGGCATTTCGGAGATCACCCAACTCGCAGAATTTGCTAATTTTGGCGTTTTCGTCCAACATGGAAGAGACACCGACCCTAGTGCTACGAGGAACGTCCAAATTTGAAGATAACAAACATTTTCTTGAAGATTGTCTAAAGAAGATGAAACCGTTCCGAGGCTTGGAATAATTTGCTTCATTTGTATGACAGTTACAAGTTGTGCAGGTGCTGAAGTTCGATATGCTTTTAGCCATTGTCAACAAAATCGCCTCTGGTATCCTGCGAGTCCGAGTGCTGTCCGTAAATATATAAAACTTTTTTTTTCTACATTTTTTTCCTTAAACCTTATCAAATATTACACTCGCTATATTATAGTAACTAGAAGATAGTATCTGAAATTAAAAAAGTGTCCAATAACTCTTCAAAATAAAAATTATTGTTACTTTAGTTTTTAAAATGTATTACTCATTATTATTATTATTATTATTATTATTATTATTATCTTAAATTCGATAATTTATAATATTTGAAAAAGTATAAAACAAAATAAAAGTAATTTGCTTGAAATGTAAACATGAAAGGAAGTAAGTTTGAAAGCAAATGTAAACCACTTGGAAAATAGATGCATGAATTTAAATACTTATCTAAAGAAAAAAATAAGTGAGAAGAAGAAGATGTAATTGAAAGTAAAGTTTTGTGACATAATTTGAAAAAGGAAAACAAATTGGAAAAATGTAAGTAGAAAGTGGTTTTAAATGACTAGAACTACAAAATTGAATGACGATGAAGGAGAGAAAGGCTTGAAAAAGTAAATCAAGAGCAAGATAAAATTGCAGAAATGTGATGAATTTCACTTAAAATCAATTGAAAATATACACTTAACTCATTTGAACTAGTGTGTGTAAGAAGGGAAAGATACAACATATTTTGTCTAATTGTTTTCAACCATTAAAATTGGAATTCAAGGTCTTATCCTGATTTTTGTTTTTAATGATCGAGAAATTTATAAATACAAGTTAAATTGACTAGACAAAGTTGATAAAATTATGACAGTTATCTCTATATATGTGACTTCAATAATTATGGATATGTTCATAAACATCGAAGTCTTGTCTAAATTTTCTGTTTTTAACACTTACTCATTTTTTACATCTTTATATTTGGTACATTGTCCTGATTTAATACCCTACTAAAATTTCACACCTCAAATTTTTCGGTACCATTTTCTGCACTAAGTTTCAAACTTTGTTATTCGAGATATCAAAAATCTACAACTCAAAGTATATTCTCAACACTAAAAAGGAAAATAATGAGTTCATGCCAACATAAATAAAATCATACGAGATTGTATAATTGTTATTCTTAATGTCATTATTTTTTAAAAATTCACAAAAACAGTAAAACCTAACCATTATTATAAATAAAACATTTTTCATCGTTGAAAACCTTTTGTCTTTCTTTTAAATATCATTGATTTATAAAGGAATTGAATGAAGAACGGTATAAATTTTAATTTTTATAAATTATAAATAAAAAAAAATCAATAACAAGAATGAAAAATAAATCTTTAGTTTTTACTTCTAGAAAATTAAAACCAGTATCTACCTATCTATAATTATAAATATAGATACACACATGTACAGGATAATCAAGATCTTTTATAATAAGTGATGATTATTACTTGAAACTATAGTCAAATAAATAAATAATTGACATTAGGAAGTAAAATAAGTGAAAATGAGAAAGGAACTTTTACTTAAGTGTTTGTTTTGCAGTAAATTCTTTACTTAATTTTTACAAATAAGATCTTTTGCCACTAAATGTAAGATACGCTGTGTTTGTGTGTGTAATAAATAAACTCTAAACACACACTCTCCAAATTGTGCTGGTAATTTCTTTACATGGAAGCTTCTCATCTTCATGGCATACCCTCAGAATGTCAACTAGAACACGTGGCTATGCATTAACATCCCACTAAAATACGTTGATGTGTCATAGCATGTATGCCAGAAATCCACTCACTATATTTAGTGAGTATGAAGGAATGAGGTAAGAATAATATAGCTTGATTCACCAGCTAGAACATATTTACATGAAAAAACCATGGCAGAACAAATGCAATTACCAGGCATGCCATCAAGAAATTACAAAATGGCTGTCCTCGCCAGCATCCACCAAACCTGCGGGATGAGTTGCCACCGTCGTCCCTGAACCTTCTTTCATTCCACTTTTCCATAAATCCATAATTAGTAACACCCAAAACATTTGCCGCAGTCTCACCACATATTTCACATAACCTGTGATTAAAAAAGGTAGCTGATATTGCGGATTTTGACTTGATCTTGGAGAAACCAAATAATATATTATTAATAAATAATAAATAAATATAAAAAGAAAAAAGAAGATGAAAGGGTAAAAGGATAAAATTATAGATATATACTTAAATATATTAAATGATCATTAAGTTTGAGGGAACAAAATCATAAATTATATGAGTTACAAAATTAAAAAGGGGCTGAGATAATAAAATTATAAATATACAAATAAATATATTAAATGTTTATTAAGTTTGGGGGGCCAAAATCATAAATTACATGAGTTACAAAACTTTAGGGGGTCACGGCCCCCCTCATCTCCCAAGAAAGATCCGCCGCTAGATATCAATAATTTATTTCATAATAGATTATAACACAAGACACTCGCTTGCAAGGGACCATCTTCAAATTTGGAACTATACAATAAAACTATAGCATAGAACAAAAGAACGTCAGAATGATGCAGTGAAAAGTTAATTTTAATGGTGAATCATATCTCTAAGCATAGAACAGAGAGGGCTTTTACAGAACTTATAGAACATATAAAAATTGACTACAACTTCTATAAGCTTCTTTTTTGCTTAGAAGATATTGCTAAAAGGATCCTCATGGTGAATCATATCTCTAACAATTTAGATTTTAACTAAGTCCATTAACATTGTGAGATTCACATGACGGACTTAACTTAGTGGGACAAGGCTTTTATTATTGTCTTTCAATAAATTTTATTGAGAAATTGACTAAAATAAGCTGTTCCCCATTTAGGAATAAGTTTGCATGTGATAAGCTCTCATTGAATAAGTGTTCAATATAGCTGTTGACCCCATCCATCAAATCGTTTATATATGATACAAGAATTAAGATTGACCATGATCAGTTATACTAGATTGCAACACAATGGTTCTCACTTGACATGGGACCAATGTCCATATTTCGTCTCCAGCAATAGAACCGACTTAGCAAAAAGGAACCTAAAAAATATTCAATGAAAAAGTACTTCACACTTCGGTTCTGGGAGATATATTGACAAATATGAGCCCATGATATCTGATAAAAATTATAAAGATTCATTTTGTGGTGGTGATAAAAGTATAAACTTACTTTTCTAGAGCATGCCCCATATGTCATCTGAATAGAGAAATAACAGATCCCAAAGAATCTTCACCAAGACAGTTACAAGAGGACTTTCTTTTCAAATATCAACGACAATCGCCATGAATATCACGATCAAATGCAATAATTGGCTAGTTTCCAATGGGACTTAATTGAATCATATGGATATTAATTAACCTCAAGTTACAAACAATAGAAGCAATTTGCTATCATGTTTACCTCTAACCCATCATCTTACATCCAAAAGGTGGAAAATGCACTGGCTGTCTGGACACATTTGTTCAACTCAACACTCAAAGAACCCAAGTAACTATAGGAGCTCCAAATTGGCTGATGACAACTGATACGAACTGTAAAGCTATGTCTGACTGCAGTAATTATTAATTATGATAGCGGTTCTCCAACTAGAGAAGTACCAATCCAAAACCAAATGGCAGTACATTAGGGGCCTTATGAAGGAAAAATCAGGCATAAGCCCAGGCATGAATCTGGAAAGGGTTTGAACAAATCCTAATAATGGTATTGGAAAGTCAAATTCTAATCTAAGGGCACAATCAACACATGTATAAGGATGCCACAGACTCGCGACTTCAAAAGATAAGCCATGGAAATACAAGAAAGATAAAATCTTTACAATACTAATGTTGAAATTATTAACGTTCCTTGTTATCAAGTTAGCTGCAGTACGCCCAAACATAGAGAAACGAAAGGGAAAGACAAATATTTGCTTGCAGAAATTATGCCAAATTGGATAATTAAGTAAAAAGAAACTTATGAATCCCTACATATCTAGGAATTAAAAATTAAAAATAAGTAGACAACAACAGGAGTGTGAGTAATTTTGAAAGCTTCAATGCAAAATCTAAAAAAAAAAACGCTGATGTTATTGTTTATCTACTACCTAGAATCAAAAAGTGATATTGTGCAAAACACATATACCTGGTCCCCTTAAGTCTGAACCACGCTTCAGCACAATGAACATGTGCAATGCCTAGCTCATCTTTACATGCACAACCAAGATGAATCAAATCTGGATTCGTAGCACTACTAGCAGGGCCAACAGTTGTTTCACTTTCATCCGATGGCTGCATCGAAGCCAGATGGCAAATCCTACAAATCAGTTCACCTTCAGAATTCTCGCAAACCTTTTTGCGGCTTCTGCAATTTATATCAATCACACATGAATGATCAGTTTCAGACGCCCCTTCTGGTGCTTTCATGGATGCCAAGTTCAACCCTGATTCATTAACTTTTGCTTCCAATTTCCTAATATCCCCATTGACATACTCAGTCTCAAAAGAATCAATTACAACCACAGTTTCAATCACTTCCTGATTAACCAAATGGTTTGACTTATAGCAAGTTCCCTGATCAACCCCAAGCAATTCATTATCACTGATATTTTCTTGATCGTGCTTGTCCTGACCCTTAACTTCCTGAAGCCCCTCCTTTAGCTCCTTATCAGGTACTAAATCCTTACCTACCTCTCCTGAAGTTCCAGCTTCTCCACTTATACCAACTCTGCCGCCCATGTTGTTCCCATCTACTGCATCAATAACTACCCCTTCAACAAAATGACTCAAATTCCCATATACCCATTCATGAACCGGACCCGGTATCTCACCTCTCTCTTCGCTTCTGTTTTGATCCATTAACAGTTAGTTCACTCTCAAACCTGAAAAGATATCCCAAACAATGTCACAATACAAACCGAACCAAAAAACTCTCCGTATTTTAATTACAGAGGATGAACAATGTGATCAAATGAAAGGTGGAAAATGCATATCTTCCAATGACCCACTTCTGGATTCGAGCAGATATTAAGAAATAATCGATTTAAAATAAAAGGAAATCATGGGCGTCACCTTCGAGATGGATGACCTCGCTCTCCAAGAAAACAAGCCCCAAATACCCGTAAAGTGATTGGGTTTACTTCCAAATATTAAATTCCACAATCGAATTCAACTTGGATATGCTTCAATCAGACTCTGGCCAGGTAAAACCTGGGTGGCTTCCTTCAGGGATTTAGATGAAGGGAAAATAAAAGTATTGTAAAGTGGGGAAATAAAATAGGAGCAGGCTTAGCCGATGAAAGGAACTGGAAAAAAAACAGTAACAGATAGAAGTTTCAGTGGAATTGAATCATTTAATTAGTTGGGTCAGTGAACGAAGCAAAAGCAAATAAAAGGTCTTACTCCATTGTCGTATAATAAAATAATAATAGCAAACGTAAAATTAAATTAATAATTAATTACATATATAATTAATTATTTTATAATTAATTACAATTAGAACCAGCTATTATTTGAATTTGAATAATAAGTATACATGTTAATAGAAACAATAATCTTTTACATTAAAACTGTACTAAAATTTAGGAAAAAAATATTTTACAAATTTAATCATCGCTCTAAGTATACTTTCTAATGCATGATTATAGTTAAAAATTACAAAATCAAGAGAATAATTTAATTATTATGTAGTGAGATTTTAAATCTTAATTAATAATAGAGTATTTTCTGAAAAAATGAGAAAATGTATTATTAATAATATGCCATATATAATAACAAATATTTCTTTTTATTATAGAAATTATTACAATTTTTAGGTGATAATATTTTTATAACTTAATTTTTAAAAATAACTTATTAATAATCTATTTATAATAATATAATAATAAAATTATTTATTATATTATTATGAGTGAACTGAAAATATATTTTTATCTTAAAAATAATTTGCTGAAACATAGAGAAAGGAAAGGATAGATACAGATGAGTTAGATGCTACAGAGTTAAGTATTAATTTATTATATTATATTGTATAAAATAATTTATTATTATTATTATTATTATTATTGCCGAAATTCTTGATTCAATATTATCTGAAAATAAAGTATATTATGAGTGGCGGTTGAAGTATGTTATATTATTATATTGCATAAATCTTATGGCTGTGGTGAAGTACAAGAAATTTGCATGAGACCTTAAAAAATAGTGTTGGACTCATCCAGTTTTCTTGTTTATGTTGTTAATTTGTTTTGTGTGTTTGTTCTTTTCTTTTGTGCGTATGATGCATATTGTTACCAGTTTTATGTCGTTATTAGTTTGCCAAATACTAAACTTCACATTGTTATCTATGCAAATTAGAATGCATTATTTGAATTACGAAATTTTTACCATTTTTTCTCTTAGTGACTTCACTGTATTTACTCAGAGTAAAAACTCTTCTTATTTTCGTGTCTTTTTTATTTTTATTTAATAATAATAATAATAAATTATAAAGTTTGTATTGGCTTACAAAACTAAATTATATTTATCTAATGTCGCTCATGACAATTTTTATTTATTTAAAATATAATTAAAAAAAATCTTAACATTACAAAAATTTTAGTTTCCTTATTTAAATGTTATTCACAGAACTTTTTTATTCTATTAATTTATAATAAGTAGTTAATAAATAAATTGAAAAGTGTTATTACTCTTTTAATTGTTATTTTAATTTTAAAACACCTCGTCTTTTGTATTCAAACAAGTATTAGTAAAAATATTTAAGTTACGGAAAGAATAGCCATTCACAAGATGATTAATATTTCATACTAATCTAGGAATAATTCAAAACTTCAAACACTGTATATGCCTCTTCAACAGTCTGAATTTGAATTTGTTTTTGTATGAGCATTTGTTTTAAAGTGTTCAAATCTACGAATTTTTGGAGAGCATGATCTTAATGTATAATTTTTTTAATATAAATTTATTTGATAACTAGATAACTATAATAAAAGTACCATTGGACACAAGTATACTAAGAGTGGAAAAAGTCAAGAACTATCCAACTTGCTATTTTTTTGGTATTTTATAGTTTACGTAAACTGATACCTACATTTACGATTATTGGTGGAAGTTAATGCCAAAAAATATCCACGAGTAATAAACAAATATGCATATGCTTTAAAATACTTTTACAATTAAGTTGAAAAAACTAGCAGTGCTAATTTATATTTTAAAATATAATGTACGCCAAGAGAATCCACTCCCTACTTATAAATTATTATAATAACCTTAGAATAGCATTGATAGTAGATGTGATAATATAATTAACTATTAATGATTGAGTAATCGAATAAATGGGTCAAGAGCAAAACAAATGGATAGGTGATCCGGACCACCCTATATGAACTCATTAATGATAATAAATTAAAATGCAAAACTCTTCTGTCTAGTTGATTTAACAACGTCATTGTTAGCTAAGGTGTTTAAAGTTCATTAAGATCAAGTTTTGATCTGATTTGACTTATATTTAATTTTTTCTTTTGGCAGTTGTTAGAAATATATAAAGTGGTAATTTTTGTGTATAAGATAGTTACGCTAATGTGAACAAGATAGAACAACTTAGTGCTTAAGTTCACCATGATTTTGGAAAAATAATAAATATCTATGTGATGGATGATGTTGACTGAAAATACAAATACCTTTTTAACCAAACTCTATCTCAACAAACCTTTATATTACTTCCCAAGTGGATTGCATAAAGAAGGATATGGGTATTGTAGGACATAGGGTTATAAACGAAATTGATGATTCAATCAGCTTGATATATGAAAAAAAAAACATTAATTTCATTCTTAATATAACTACTGCTATTTTTCTTACTTAAATTCCTTTTTCAACTTTATCGATTTAGTATTTAAAAATTATTTTAACAATATTATAATAATAAAAAATGCCTTACCTTTTCAAATAAAAATAATTCATATATTCTACACAAGTACAATTCAATATTGATTAATAAAACCTAAATTTTAAAACATCTGAAAACCTAATGTGAGCGTTGAAAGAGTACAAGTTATGAACCATATCGCTCTTAACACATATTATTGTTACTTAGTGTATCTTTAATGAGTTGTTTTATTTTTGAAAAAAAGTGAAATAATGGCCCTAAATGTATTATCATATATAACTATTTTTTATTTAATTTAACGCAAAAAATTTAAATAATTTTAAACAATTCATTATTTTATATACTATTTTAATATTTTATATAATAATAGAATATTTACAACTAGTTGTATTGAGCATTGTGTAGTTTTTAGAAATAAATATTTAAGGAAGCATAATAATGAAGACATTGATTGACTACTACAAATAGAAGTGACACATGACAATAATGGTGGTGACAAATAAAGAAGAAAGATATTTCATTAAAATCGTGAAGAAGGTCATCATAGATTGTATTATTTTGTTGAAAATCTTATATATACAAAACTCAATTTCGAAAAAGGTTCTGTATGTGGAGGGAGGTTTTTATGAGAATTATGGAAGTCCTTGACAATTATGATGATTAGTTTACACTGAGGTTAGATGCAACACAAATACCACAAGAAATTTTATAATTAGCTAGAAAAATTTGTTACAAAATTTATTTTTTACTAATTTGTAGTTAATTAGCTATGAAATAGTGAAGGAATAAGATTGTAATTAATTTGTAGTAAAATAACTATGAAATAGTGAATGAATAAGGTTGTAGCTAATTTGTAGTAAAATAGTTAGAAGACTAATATTTTTGTAACTATTCCCTCACTTAGCAGAAAAATAATTTATCTAGGAAAATTTTTGTCATTAATCATTCGCTATAAATATTAGTTATGTTACTTTTTGAAGTTATTTCCTAGTTAAATTGTGTAACATACCATCATAGGTAAACTGTAACAAATTTATAACAAATTTCAAATTGAAAAGAAATTAAATTGTTGGGAACCATTTTTGTATATTATTTTAGTTTTATAAAAAATTATTTACAAAAAATACATGTAAATTTCTCTAAAAATATATAATTATAAAAAATAGTTTTTGATCTTTTTGAAAAAAAATATCAATAAAAATTAATTACAATTTTTTCTTAAAAAATTATTTCTACCAAATTTATTATAAATATATAATTATATATATAAATTTTTTTATCTAAAATAAATTATTTGGAAATAATTATAAATTTTTTAAAAAAATATCTAAAAAAATTGATAAATATTTAAAATTATTTTCTGTAAGTTTTTTATAAATTTAAATTTGTTGGAAGTATTTAATAATATTTAAATTAATAGAAAATTTTATAAATAATATTTTTTTAGAAATTATTCTTTATAAAAAATAAAAAATTATTATATTTAGAAATACTAATTTTTTTTTATAATTCTTTTAATAAAAATCCTAATTAATCTCTTTCTCATCGCTCCACTGCGCTTCAGCGTCGTTCTTACTACCGCTCCTGCACCGTTCTTGCTTCTGCTCCCGTTATAATACGAAACCTGAGGTTTAAGAAAACACTTTACCCTTTTTATTCTATTCTATTTTCTTCTCTTCTTCCCTAGGGTTTTAATGCTAGGGTTTCAGTGTTCACTCTCTATTTTTCTCTCTCACTCTGTTTCTCTTTCTTTGGGCATAGCCATGGATAGGTACCAGAAGGTGGAGAAGCCTAAGCCCGAGTCTCCAATCAACGAGAATGAGATCCGAATCACAACCCAAGGCACTATTCGCAACTACATCACCTACGCCACTTCGCTTCTTCATTAGAATGAGAAACCTTCGCCTTTTATGCGGATTGGGGTTTTCATTCAGGGTTACATTTTCGGGCTTTGAGACTTAGTTTTGTTTGTTTGTTTGCTAAATGCTAGTGTGTGGGGGTTGGATTGACAAGGTTTGGTTTGTGATATGTGGCATTTTGTATTTTTGTTTGTTTTCGTATGACCTTTGATTTTGGAAACTCTTTATTTGCGATAGAATATGTTTGATGTGGGTTGAGTATTGAGATTTAGTTTCTGGATTCAAAGCTAAAGCACCAGTAACATGTGGAGTTCAAAGCAACGAGAATAGACTTTTCTGAAGAGAACCAAATAACATGAACTGCGTAATCACGGAGTACCTCTTTCTTTTGTTACCTTTTCCCCTTGGCTATTAAGCTTATTTATTTATACAACAATTATATAGGCCTTTTTGCTTCCCACTTGGCATATTTATGTGATGTTGGGTTGTATTTTATCTCAAGTTCATTGAATGACAACAATCAGCCGCATGATCGGCTTACGCACCACTTTTAAAGATTTCATTTAGTAATATTGAATCTGTCAACGTTAAAATTTACAAACTAAAGTAGTTCATTGATTGAGAGACATTCATTTCTTCACCCTTCTTGTAAATGCTTCTGAACCAATAAATATTAGTTAATGTTGGATCACTGTTAATTTCCATCACATGCCCTGTATTCATGACTCAGTGATATCGATATTTTCAGGTGAAGTGAAACTTTTGAGTAAGTATTATGTAAACATTGATTGAGATTATAGAAAGATTTTTTTCATAGACAGAGATTCTAAGTCATATTCTTTTTTGGTGACACAATGCTAAACCATACTAACATATTCTCCAAACAATACAATTTATGGGACCTGCATTGAGAGTTATTGCAGGTACCATGTATGCTGGAGCAGCACTTAAAGATTGAGAAGGTGAGTAATTTGGAGCACAACTTCTAAATCCAGATGGTACAAAATAAGCATCATTTAAAAATAAGTCCTTGGAAGATCTCCATTTCCAACTCTTCCAGTTTTCCTTCACTTCCCTCTTGGTAACCTGTCATCCAAGAACAACATTCAAATGTTTTGAAGCATTATGTATTGGTTTGAGAGAAAAAAAAGGGAGAGATTTCGTGCCACTATTTCTACCTGTTTTGCACTTGGGTCATTTGGTGCTACATAAAAATTCCCTTCACTTAAAATGGTTGGGTTAGCACTACCTCCTATAGCATACATTTTCTACTCATCATATTTGTTGTTGACCACATGGGCGTAACCAAATCTTACCTTGCATTTTCATCCAAGTGAATACAGTATTTATTTCCATTGAACATGCAAATTCAATCCATAGAAAAATCACTCTTACCTTGGCATCCTTTCACTTAGGCCACTAGCAAACTGGTTGAAGGCTATTGTTACTTTAATTATTTTATCCCTTGTGAATTGGTCATTGTGTCCTAGCAACATAACCTGCAGGCACGTTTCTGTGAAGAAAGAAGTCCCACATCGGTGGGAACTTCAATTGGGGGGCTCTCCTCCTTCTTATAAAAGGAGCCCCTCCCTCCTTATTTCAACATCCCAAAATTTCTTTCCTTCTCTAAGTATTAGAAAGTGTTGTCATTCTTAGGACTAGAGAAGGGGTATTTAATTTTTCTTTCTATTATAAAATTTCCACTTTTGTCTATTATTGCTATTCAATTTTTCTCTTCTCTATTTTAGTTGAGTTCTTGTGCAAGTAGTCTGATACCTAACAGTGGTATCAGAGCCACGTTCTTATTCCGTTGCGCTAGTCACTAGAATAGTATTGGTAAAATTCTGAGTATGCTCTGTGGTTGCGGTTTAATCTGATCTTCCACATCAGAAAAGAGTCGTTATTC